GTTCTTCTTCTTCCCAGAACACCATTCCCAGGACACATTTTGAATGCCCGGAGCCAGCTGTAGGCCACTTCGTGTTTTTCGTGTTCCCAGAACACCACTCCTGTACCATATTTTGATTGCCCGGAGCCAACTGTGGGACACTTCGTGATTTTCGGGTTCCCAGAACACAAGTCCTGTGCCATTTTTTGAATGCCCGAGCTGAGGCAGGCTGAGGCCGAATCAGGCTGAGGCTGACAGGCTGAGGCTGAGGCTGAGGCACGCCAAGGCACGCTGAGGCTGAGGCTGAGGCAGGCTGAGGCTGAGGCAGGTTGAGGCTGAGGCTGACGCAGGCTGAGGCCGAGGCAGGCTAAGGCTGAGGCTGAGGCAGGCTGAGGCTGAGGCAGGCTGAGACTGAGGCTGAGGTAGGCTGAGGCTGAGGCTGAGGCAGGCTGAGGCTGAGGCTGACAGGCTGAGGCTGAGGCTGAGGAGAGCTGAGGCTGAGGCCGAGGCAGGCTGAGGCTAAGGCTGAGGCAAGCCGAGGCTGAGGCTGAGGCTGAGGCAGGCTGAGGCTGAGGCTGAGGCTGAGGCTGCGGCTGAGGCTGAGGCCGAGGCAGGCTGAGGCTGAGGCTGAGGCAGGCTGAGGCTGAGGCTGAGGCTTAGGCTGAGGCTGAGGCCGAGGCAGGCTGAGGCTGAGGCTGAGGCTGAGGCAAGCCGAGGCAGGCTGAGGCTGAGGCTGAGGCTGAGGCTGATGCTGAGGCAGGCTGAGGCTGAGGCTGAGGTAGGCTGAGGCTGAGGCAGGCTGAGGCTGAGGCTGAGGCAGGCTCAGGCCGAGACAGGCTGAGGCTGAGCGCGCACACCCTGCGCGGCGGGCCGTCTGTCTCGGCGCGCCGCCCGAGCGCCCGCGCGGCGCGACGACCCCCGCCGCCCCGCCGCGGGCATGGCACGCCCTCGCGGCGCGGCGCCGTCCGCCGCCGCCGCGCGGGCGAGCTCGGGCCTACGGCCGCAGCCGCCAGCCCCCCGCGGCGCACGCGCGGCACGGCGCTGGCCGCCGCCGCGCTGCGCCTGTGGCCGCGCGCCGCCCAGCGCCCACCCGCCGCCGTCCAGCTGGCCGAACGGCCGCAGCAGCGCCCGAGCTGGGCGGCACGCCGCCCTCGATCATCACGCCGTCGTCAGCGCCGCCTCCGCTGGGGCCGCCTCCTCGCGCGCCACCAGCGGGACGGGCTCGCCGATGAGGCGGCCCGTGAGCGGGTGCTTCCCCGCCTTCATCCTGTTCAGCCTTGTGCCCGCCGTGCTGTTGGCGACCTTCCCCAGGCACTTCTCCGCCAGCAGGATGGCCGCACCTCCTCCAGCCCTTGCCCCGCAGGAGCAGCAGAACACCACGTCGCCCATGGTCATCAGGCGGTGCGACGCGTCGGCCGCCAGCACAGCGGCAGGCGTCCCGCGGCACAGCCCCGCTTCCAGCTGGGCGCGGTCCCTGCAGCGCACCCCGCAGCGGTCGCATGCGAACGGCAATGCGCTGCTGCTGCAAGGCTGAGGCTGAGACTGAGCCTGAGACTGAGGACGAGGCCGAGGCAGGCCGAAGCTGAGACAAGGTGAGGCTGAATGGGAGGGGAAGGGGGGGGAGGAGGGGAGGCTGAGGCAGGCTGAGGCCGAGGCGGGCTGAGGCTGAGGCAGGCTGAGGCTGAGGCAGGCTGAGACTGAGGCTGAGGTAGGCTGAGGCTGAGGCTGAGGCTGATGTAGGCTGAGGCTGAGGCAGGCTGCGGCTGAGGCTGAGGCTGAGGCTGAGGCCGAGGCAGGCTGAGGCTGAGGCTGAGGCTGAGGCTGATGCTGAGGCAGGCTGAGGCCGAGACAGGCTGAGGCTGAGGCTGAGGCAGGCTGAGGCCGAGGCAGGCTGAGGCTGAGGCTGAGGCGAGCCGAGGCTGAGGCTGAGGCTGAGGCAGGCTGAGGCTGAGGCTGAGGCTGAGGCTGTGGCTGAGGCTGAGGCAGGCTCAGGCCGAGACAGGCTGAGGCTGAGACTGAGCCTGAGACTGAGGACGAGGCCGAGGCAGGCCGAAGCTGAGACAAGGTGAGGCTGAATGGGGGGAAGGGGGGGGGAGGAGGGGAGGCCGAGGCAGGCTGAGGCCGAGGCAGGCTGAGGCTGAGGCAAGCCGAGGCAGGCTGAGTCTGAGGCTGAGGCTGAGGCTGAGGCTGAGGCTGAGGCAGGCTGAGGCTGAGGCAGGCTGAGCCTCAGGCTGACGCAGGCTGGGGCCGAGGCAGGCTGAGACTGAGGCGGAGGCAGGCTGAGGCTGAGGCCGAGGCAGGCTGAGGCTGAGGCTGAGGCAAGCCGAGGCAAGCTGAGGCTGAGGCTGAACTGAGGCAGGCTGAGGCATCCGTAGGAATCCATCGGAATCCTTAGGAATCCCTAGGAATCCTTAGGAATCCGTAGGCATCCTTAGGAATCCTCAGGCATAGTTAAGCATCCTCAGGAATCCTTCGGAATCCTTAGGATTCCCTAGGAATCCTTAGGAATCCTTAGGAATCCCTAGGAATCAGGATTCCTAAGGATTCCTAGGGTTTCCTAATGATTCCTATGGATTCCTAAGGATGCCTAAGGATGCCTTAGGAATCCCTAGGGATCCTTAGGATTCCATTTGATCCTAAGGCCGTTGCCACTACGACTGTCATTGCGAATGCGACTGCGACTGCGAGAACAGCAGACTTCTACAACTGGATTCTCACCTGAATCGTAAGGGGAATGCTTCCAAATATGCTTATACACATCGCTGTTAGGTTGCTTTGCCGGGATAATTTTGGTGGGACAACACTCGGGTCAGGACGCTTCGTCAGTGCCACTGCGTGATCGACATCGAGCCTCTGAGCGCGCACACTACCGCGGTCACCGCCGGCCCCCCGCGCGCGGAGGAACCCGGGTGGGCTGGCGAAGCCCTCGCCAACTGCGGGCACCCTGGTGCGCAGCATTGGCCCAACACTGAAAGTCAAAACACCTCACCGAGGGCAACAAACAAGAAACGAGAAGTGGCACTGGAACCATGACTTGAAGCTTTGGGTGAGCTCGCCGCGGGGGAAGAAGTGTGCGCCACGCGGGTCACAAGCGCGGGTCAAGCGCACGGATACGCGGCACGCGGGCCCGAAATTGGCCACAAGACGCGCGCGATCTGAATGCGGGGTGGGAAAGAGACTGATGGAGAGCGGAACGAGGAAGGCAGAGAAGCAGAGTGGAGAGACGAGCATGAGGGTCGCTATGCCTCCTCCGACAGCACCGCATCCGAAGACCCTCTCCCTTCTCCTCCTCCTCCTCCTCCGAAAACGAAAACGGTCCTCGGCACCATCGGAAGGAATGCGGTACCTCTAAGTGAGCCCTCGCTGGGGGAACAGAAAGATTCCGATACCGTGACTCCTTCAACCTCTCCTGGGATGCCTTCTGACCAGAACTTCGAGGACAATCCAGCCGTGGCGACGAAAGCCCTCCGCGACGAGCAGCGGCATCGGTAGCCGTTCCTCCTCTGACTTGTGACGTCACCTCTCCGATACCTGAACGACGATCAAAAACGGGTCTTACGCGAAATGACACGGCGACCTCACGCGGCGGCTTTCGCGGGCCGGGCCGCCAGGGCGGCTTGCTACTTTGGAGACGAGGGCGCGCACGCGCGACCTTACGCGGGCAGCTTCCGCGCCAATGTCGGCGCAGACCCCGTGTTTTTGGAGTCGCTCACCTGTGTGCCAGACCTAGCCCGAACAGCCACAGGACATGGCGGCACGGGCCGTCAATGTGCACTTGCGCCCGCGGTGTCGCAACTCGCGAGGAGGAGGCGCGGTGCTAGCGGTCTGCCACCACCTCCAAGCAACAAGTTGCCAGTGCGCCACGGCGACGCACCCCAGGTCCGCCCGCGCGCTGCGCGCACGCTCACCTGCAGGCGAGCGCGGTCGGAGATACAGCCTGACCTAGCCTGGGGCAGAAAAACATCCTCCAAAAGCATGAGACCCTCCGCCGGCCAAACCGAAGAACATTCGAGGGTGCCCTCCCCAGGCTGCACAAGAACATCCAACAAGCACGATGAAAATCAGGCTACCCTCCCCGAAGCGACCTTGATCTCATACCTCAGCTCGACCGTAGAAGAGTCGCCATGTCGCCAGGGCTGGTCTGCACGATCGCAGGGTTGGTCTGTGCGCCTCCTCGCGCGCGCACACGCACGAGCGCGTGCTGGAGGAGGAGGGGGAGGAGGGGGAGGAGGGGGAGGAGGAGGGGTAGGAGGAGGAGGAGGAGGAGGAGGAGGAGGAGGAGAAGGAGGAGGAGGAGGAAGAGGAGGGCGGAACACAGAGGACAGGGGAGGAGGAAAGGAGGCTCAAGGGCGACGAGACTAACAGGCGGCGGAGGAGTGAGAAGAAGTGGGGGGGGCAGATGCGAAGGGGGGCGGAGGAGGCGTAGGAGACGAGCGAGGGAGGGAGGACGCAGAGCGAGGAGGGGGCCGAGCGGGAGGAGGCTGAGGAGACCAGGGAGGCAGAGGTCAGAACGAGGAGGGGGCCGAGTAGGAGAAGGCGGAGGCTTAGGCTGAGGCGGCGGAGGTGGAGGCGGTGGCAGAGGCGGAGGCGGAGACGGCGGAGGAGGCGGAGGATCATCAGGAGGAAGAGGACAACGACGACGCGGAGCGGGCCAGGGGCGGCTCGATGTGACACCTTGGTCGGCTTTGACTTGATTGAGCGTGATTGGCTACTTGACTTTGACGCACATGCCCGGCGTTTGGGGTTGACTCCTCCGTCCAATCTCCTTTCAGCGACAATGTTCAATATCAATATTACTACTGCTCTGATCAGTCGTGTGCTACCCTGACTACAGTGTGGACGTGGCCGCCAGAACCCTTTGCAAGAAAACCGACCCTGAAAAAACCGCGCGCGAGATGCAACTGGGGACAAACCCAGAGCACCCTGAGCGCAGCAGCCTCTCTCACGGCCACGGGAATCCACCGCGCAGCGCGCGGGGCAAAGACGACCAAGGTATCCTGAGGAAGAGCACCTGGCTCGTTTTGTTTTGTCATTCGCTCATGATCAGCACCATTTCCTCGCCATGCAGCGCATGATTGTGACTCTATTGTCGCATGATTTGCTGCAAACAGGCGTGCATGCATAGAGTTGACGCGGGATCCGTAGCCGCCGAGACTCGAATCTAACAGTCCTTCGAGTTTTCCGACACAGTCTGGGGAGCCAGGAACAAAAAAAAACGCAGTCACAGCTTTAAGTGCTGCCCACGTCACATACACTCATCCATTGACACCCACTGCTGGGCTGCCCCGCGGCCTAGACAGACTGTGCAGTGCCAGGCCCGAGCTGCCAACTTTCTGTTGGACCTGGCTGGGGGGAACTCCGCTCCATTCCTCCCATCCGGGTCCTCGGGGGCAGAAAATGTGATCGTGCAAAACGTGTAACAGCTCTCTTGACCTGTGATGGCCAACCGATCACGTGCCAACATGTTGCAAACATGTACCGGCGTATTGTTAAGAAACCGAGCGGCGCAGTAGTGCTGCACTAACCACCACACAATCGGTACAAGACATGCGCTGGAGAACTATACGCTGCATGCCACGGTTTCTTCATCCGCGACGCGGTCGAAAACTTTGCGCTGACTGGCCCTGGCCACTGGGGTCACGTGGACTGGACCATGCTGGACTTCGCAAGTCTTCTGCAGCTGGGCTCTCGCACCGCCTGAAGATCTGCTTCACGGAAACGCCAGTAGTAAGGCTCGTCTGTTCTAACACCAACTCCTCGCCGTCGCCCTGTAGGTAGCGCCGCGTCGAGGGCAACGGCCTGCTACTCCACACCCGTTCAGAGTCCATTGACAACACCTGTCCGTCCCAAGTCACGCGTGTTCTGACAGTGCGACCATCGAGGTCCGTGAGGTACTGCTCAATGCCATCTGTTCTGTAGATATTCGATGTCGATCTGGGCCGCGGCATCTCGACTTTACCAGATAAGTACCTCGAATCAATGCGGATCTCGTTTGTGTGCTGCTCCACGTGGACGGACTGCAAGCCGACGCCGAAGCCCACGCTGGCCAATGCCTTCCGCTGCACCAGCGAAGTCTCGAGCTCCATCAGCATTGCTTGTACGTCCCCCTCTCGAGTCTGTGCAACAGCCAGTCGCCGCTGAAGTCTGGATGGGCGGCCGTCATGGCTCGCGGAGCCTCCTGCGTTTCCGACTTCCTGGCGACTGAGATGGGCGCTTGCGCCGTCACTGGGGAATCTGTCGGCGAGCCAGGCGGCGCTGTCGGGCTGAAGCGGTTCGCGCCGTCCTGGTCAAGATCACACGGTGGCCCGGCCGGTGCACACTCCTGACTTCGTGGACTGGCCTCGCTGGTCGTCGTCGAGAACATCCGATCAAATTCACCCTCGGTGGACTGGGAGGAGGAGCGGGGCACGCTGTGTGGATGCCCTCCTCTCCGTTCCTCCTGCAGCGGCGTGGGCCTCGCCTGCGGGCCCGCCTTCGGGCAGGTGGCTTCTTCGGCCGCGCGCTGTACCTCTGGCGGTAGCGTGCAGGTGCACGCGGACCCGCCCATAGGGCCCCCGACTGATCACAACGGACGCTGCGTTGGGACATGGGGTACAACGGCTTCCTAAGTCCTTGAGCCAAAATGGCTACGGAAGGAAGAGCACCTGGCTCGTGGATGAGTGCTCGTCCTGTTTCTACCGCTGCCCGTTCTGCCCCAGGAGGAAACGGAGAAGCAACGGCAGGAGGGGGGAGGAGGAGGAGGAGGAGAGATCGGTTGGAGCCAGCTGGGGGGTCTGCGCTGGCTGGGCCCCGAGAAGATCCGCCAAGACGGGGGGGGGGCGGGGGCAGATCCGCTCAGAATCGGCCCCTGGACCGCCGGACCCGCCCGAGGTCGCGACCGAGCCGTTCTTCCGGCCGCGCCCCACCGTGGCGACGAGGGGTCCCCTCGTCGCCCCCCCTCTCTGCTGGCCAGGACCTCTGCTGGGCGGCCCTCGGCCCCCCCAGCCGGCTCCGGAGGGAGCGGCAGGCGGCGAGAAGGACCTCTTTGGGGGCCCGCCCGGCGAGCGCGCCCGTGAAGCCTGGAGCGGCGCGGCCTGCTGCTGTAAGCGCCGTGTGGCCGTGCTTTGGTGAGACACTGACTGTACTCGCTCCGGGCTCTGGCTCCTCCGCCCCCCGGGGGGGGGAGGAGGGAGGGAGGATGGCCGCGCCATGGCATCCTCGCGTCATGGAAAAGCCACGACGGGTTGGGGCGTGTTACCGCTTGAGCTGGTGACGGCCATCAGGGTCCACTTACGGCCTCTGGGCGGGGGCCCAAGCTGTCAAAACCAGACTCTGAATGAAAAGCTGGTGCTGGGGAAGGGGGGAAGGGGTCCAGGCCCGAGAGGGGGGGGCAAGCTAGGCGAGCTCTGGCCATACCTGACATCCTGCGCTGTTTTCTTCTCTATCCGCCGATGCGCATCATAGGTGACCTGAAATTCCAAAATGGACCCCATCGGGTCATGCGCAGTCGAATAAAGGGAGCTGCGTGCATTGGAGGAGGCGGCGGATGAGCAGGAGGATGAGCAGGAGGAAAAGGAGGAGGATGAGGAAGGAGGAGGAGCAGCAGGAGCGGAGCTGGAGTTGAAGGGGCGAGAGGAGCAGGAAGACCAGGGGCAGGCGAAGGAGGGGAAATGAGGGGGGCAACAACGATGAAGAAGGACTCGGATCAGGAAAAGTGGCCCGAGCTGGGGCGAGAGTGCAATTCTGAACGACGAGAGCAAAATGTCGATCCCAAAATGAGGCACACGCTGCAGCGGCAGCACCATTTGGGAGGATCAGAGACCGTGCTTTGTTAAACGAACAACGCGTTAGGAAAACAACTGCTTGAAGTCCTGTGCGTGAACTAGCAGTACGCCAAGAGGGCGGACCATCTTCCGCGGATAACCAAGGAAGGAAGGAACATCGTAATTATCCATAGTGCGCACTTGTACGGCCGTTTAGCAAACGCCGATTGGCGGGGTCTGGGTGTTTTTTCCTCCCTTGATCACGGGCGACTGCAGCCTCAGAGTTCCTGAGACCATGCGGTGAGGGACGGCGCGATGAGGCCTCTTAGGATCTCGAGGTGACCGCGCGGTGCGTCACCACACACGGTGTTGGGGACCCCTGATCCGATGGCCCCGGGCACCCCGAGTGGGCCCCCAAGCCGAGATCGCCCCAGACCCAGGCACGGACCCCCCGACGTCGAGGTTTGGGCGACGAAAAAGACATGGTCTTAAGCGAGATGCCACAGGGCTAGGGCTAAACAGTGCTTTTCGTTATTCGTTTGGTGTTCGTTTTCCTTCGCTCTGTCTTCGCCCTGCCTCTGCTGCGAAACGGAAGCAAAACGAGACAACGGTCCACGAAATGACCCAAACACTGTTTCGCTCGAGCCCTGAGATGCCACAGCAACCTTACGCGGTGGCTTTCGCGGGCCGCCAGCGCGGCACATCGCGTGGGGAGCGAGGGCGCTCACGCGCGACGTTGCGCGGGGAGCGTACGCGCCAATGTCGGCGCAGTCGGACCCATCCTTTTGCGTCGCTCACTTGTTCGCAGCACGAACCCCCCCCCCTCCCCAAGAGGGCTCGACCCCTCCCCGCGGGGCAGTCGTGGCACCACCCCGAGCCGTCGCCTGACGGCCCCAACCTCGGAAGCCGAGGTCGGCCCGGGCCCAGGCCCAGGCCCCCAACGCCGCGACTCGCTCGCGGCGTGAACCCCTCCCCCAGGAGGCTCGACCCCGCCCCTTAGGGCCGGACCTAAAGACCTAACGTTGTCGGTCGTTTCATGTTCCGTGTTGCTCGACCTGTTTTCCTGTTCCCTCCCTCCCAAAGCGAAAAACAAAACACAGCCGAAGTCCAGCAAAACAGCGTTTAGGTCCAGCCCTGCCGCCCCTCGGGGCAGTCGTGTCACCCCGAGCCGTCTTTTGACGGCCTCGGGGCCCAGCAAGGGTCCCTGGGGGCCGACAGCTGACAGCAGCCTCCCGCCGCTACAGTCGGACCTAGGCCAGAAGAACATCCCTCAAGAACACGAGACCCTCCACTGGCGAAAACACACAGAACATCCAAGGGTACCCTCCACCAGGATGCGCAAGAACACCAAACAAACACGAAAGACACCAGGGTACACTCTCCGAACCGACCTCAGTCTTGTAGCTCGGTCCGCCTGTATATTTTCACGGCGCGAGGGTGCCGGGGAAGTCTAGGGGCTCGGCTCGAAACAGAAACGCGCGCGCGCGGGAACGAAGCTCGCGGAGGCCGCCCAGGTGGGGGTTGAGCAAAAAAAGTCGGAGAATCGCGCCGCACTGCCGATGCACCAGCAACGCGTCCGCGACGAGGATGAAGACCATGGGGCTGCGATGCATCGGCCATTCAGCGCCATCCTCCGACCCCACCTGTGGTAAGTACGTGTCGTGACGACCCAGGCGCCGGTTTCTGAAACCACGTGGATCATTCTACCTTGAGCGATCGGCAGCTCTTCCGCCAGATTGCTCCACACTGGCCAGTTCTGGGCCACTGGTTCGCTTGACCTTGAACGCCGCGGCGGGGTCGCTGCCGCGTCGACACGACGCGAACCTATCGGGGGCGTCCAAGAGGGAGACGTCCAAGAGGGTGTGCGCAGGTCGTTGCCCGAGGCACGTGTGCGGCCCAAGGAGGGGCAACGGGATGTGTTGAGATCAGAAGAGGGGGCAATAAAATCCGGGAGAGATCATGGCCCCAGCCATGCTACGCACCCACCCCGAGTCATCACCCACTCTTGCTAGCCCCCGGAGCTACCGTGCTCGGACCCTATACGGGCGGCCCAGAGCAAGGAGCGCGCGCGCGGCCCTCACACAAACTCCCGCAACTGCTCCCCGTGCATGGCCCAACCCGGCGGCGGCCGCACGGTGCCGTCCTGGGCACGTCCACTCGATACCGAATCGGGGAATCGGACCAATTCGGAGCGCCGGGCAACCACGTGCGATCGTACCACGTGCGATCGTACCTGAAAGATCGGCTCGGGGTCAGAATGCGAAGACTGTCTCGCAAGAGGTCGCAGAAACGTGCGCCGGATTCCGCAGCAGCTGCCCCGAGGCAAGAAGAAATCCAAGAACCAACGAACACTGGGGCGATTGAGGATGAACGCTTCTACCCCTCGAGGAAAACACAAGGTACCGATACCGCTACTTCCAGGACCTCTCCTGGGGGGCGTCCTGACCAGAATTGCGAGGCGAAACCAGCGGTGGCGACGAGGGCCTCCCAAGAGGCCTAAAAAGGGGAAAACGAGGCAAGGGTAGCGGTCGGGATACGTCTTCCTGTTTTGAGATTGGGGTTAAACGCTTCTGCCCCTCACGCCCCCCCTCTGCGCCCCTCGACCGTTCGAGCTGCTCCTTAGAAGCCTTCTCCCCTCCTCCCACCCACCTCTGCGCGGGGCTGAAAACGGCAGGTTTGGTGGGCAGGAATCTGACGAACGCCACTGTTCGCAAGCGGCTTCTTCCACCCCTGGCTTCTGGGAGCTCCTTCCTGTTCGCGTCACGGGAGGGGGGGACCTCTGCACCCCTCGACCGCTCGAGCTGGCCCCTCGGAGTCCTGCGGCTCCGGCTCCGGCTCCGTCGGGCCGGCAGGGGGCGTCCAAGGGCTGGCCAGCCTGCGCTCCCGCAGCGCGTGGAAATCGAAGCCGGCCGAGACGAACCAGCGGTGCTCCATCACCTTCCTCCCTCACTCCCTCTCTCTCTCTCTCGCTGTTCCTTCCTCCTGTTCCTCCTCCTCCTCTTCCTACTCCTCCCCAACATCACCATCAACATCTCATCCTCCTCCTCATCCTCATCCTCATCATCGTCAGCAGCAGCATTATCAGCATCAGCATCACCAGCATCAACAGCATCATCATCAGCATCCTTATAATCATAACATCATCATCATCAGCACCATCATCATCAGCAGCAGTAGCATCATGATCATCAGCAGCATCATCATCAAAAGACAACAACTTCACCATCATCATCATCAACAGCATCATCATCATCGTCATCATCATCAGCAGCATCATCAGCATCAGCATCAGCATCATCGTCCTCATCCTCATCATCATCATCATCAATCTCATCAGCATCGTCATCATCATCATCATCAGCATCATCACCATAATCAGCATCATAAATTTCATCAGCATCACCATCGTCATCAGCAGCAGCAGTATCATCATCAGCATCTGCAGCAACATCATCAGGATCATCAGCAGCATCATCGGCATAATCAGCATCAGCATCAGCATCAGAATGGTCATCAGTATTCTCATCATCAGCAGCATATCGTGATCATCATCATCATCATCATCATCATCAGCATCAGCATCGTCATCAGTGGAAGCAGCAGCATGAGCACCAGCGTCATCCTCATCATCAGCAGCATCATCATCGACATCATAATCCTCAGCATCATAATCATCGTCATCATCATCAGCATCATCAACACCACCGTCACTGTCCTCATCATCACCATCATCAACATCAACAGCATCATCATTATCACCACAACCGTTATCATGAGCATGATCACCACCACCATCAGCATCATTATCATCAGGATCGTCAGTTACAGTATCAGCATCTTCATCAGCGTCAGCATCATAATCATTATCAGCATCATTCCCATCAGCAGTAGCATCATAATCGTCATCGTCATCGTCCTCGTCATCGTCCTCATCTTAGTCCGCCTCCTCATCCTCCTGAGTCATCCTTAACAGCATCCCCGTCAGCAGAATCAGAATCATAGTCATAAGCACAATCACACTCATCACTGTCATCGTCATCGTCATCGCCATCGTCATGCCGTTGTCACGTTCCAGTGTCCTCATCATCATCAGCATCGTCATCGTCATCCTCACCATGATCTGTACCATCTGCAACAACAATACCATCCTCGACATCATCAACCAGACGACCACCACCATGCTCACAATAATCGTCATTATCGTCGTCATGACCACCACCACCATCACGACCACCACGACCGCCACCCCGATGATCCTCACCACCAACATTATCATCACCACCATCAGCATCATTATCATCACCACCACCATCACCACCACCGTCACGGTCACCACCACAACCATCATCATCATAATCATCACCATCACCATCACCACCACCACCATCATCATCATCATCATCGTCATCATCATCATCATCAGCTTCATCATCATCATACCATCATCATTTTGACCATCATCCTCATCAACAACATTATCATAATCATATTCGTCATCAGACTCATCACCGTAATGATCCCATCCACTGAGCGCCCTCCATTTGGAAAGGAAGGAAGAAGGTTCAGGTTGCACTGGCACGCTGGACATGGGGACGGACAAAAATGCCTAAGTTGCCCGACAGTGACCGTTATCAAAACCGACAACGGCCGCCGTTGGGCTGGCGGCGCTCGTCACAGGCAGACGGCGTCCGCCTTGGCGCTGGCAGCGGATCCGTCTCGGATTTGGCAGCAACTGGCGTCGGTCCCTGTCCCCATACTTTCCGTCCCATGTCAGAAGCGGTCAATATCCAACCGATGAATCGATCGGATCGAATCGGATCGGCACGGAACCAGATTCGAATCGAATCGGCCGCGCCAGGATGCACAACAGCACCATGCAAGCATCGGGGCACATCGGATCTATCGGTATCGACATCGTCGGAATATCGAGAGAACGACTTCTGTACGCTATACTGGCTGCAAAATTCCCCCCTTCCCCTGGAACTGGGGCACACACACACACACACACACCCTTCTGGCAATCCCCTTTCCTCTCCGGAATGAAGACCCCACCCCTCCCCTCCCCCGAGAGAATCCCTTCCAACCACACCCCCACCCCTCTCGCAACCGGCAAACGACGTCGACGACGGCGAAGACGACATCGTAATCGCCGTCGTCGTCGTCCTCGTTGTCGTCGTCGTTTGACGGCCGGCGCCAGGGGGGGAGGACGGATTCGAACCCCATCCCCCCACCAACTTTCGCTCTCGAGGGGGAGGGGAGGGTGGGGGGTGCACAACACCAACTGCCGCCCCCGCCCCGGGACTTCCCCCGCCTGAACTCAAAGACGCAATTTCCAAATGTCGAAATGGGATCGAATCGAGCCGACCAGAATCGACATCGAATCGGATCGACTGGACCCTGTTGGGCGGCTCTCTGTTTTAGCCTTCGAAGCATACCTCGGGCCTGAGGCAGCCGTTCGGGACGATCCTGGCATCCCAGGAACGCTCTCAACGAGGCGCAGCTGATGGCTGATGATAACCCCCCGGGTCCCGAAAACCTCCGACAACTTTGTCGAAGCCTTGAAGCTCGACGACGGCCTCCGAAAGTCCCTCGAGCGACGACAGCGCAGGTCCCCCCCGGACCTCCGCCGCATCGCCCTGGCCGCCCCCGAGCCGCGACCGAGGCTTCTCTCTCAGCAGCTGCCTGATCAGATCCTGCCGGCTGCACACGACAGAGTTCGGGTGTTGCTAGAAGTGCCCCTGGCCCAAGGTGCCCCCAGGATTCTCGGGGTGCCCCAGACGGCCGCCAGGGCACCCCCCACGAGGCCCAAAGGGCCCCAGGGGCTTCACACTGGCGCGAAAAGCCAGGGGCACCCTGGGCCAGGGGGGCACCTCTGGCGACATCCGAAATGCGACCGAGTGGCCCCCGGCACGAGCGACGCCTGGCGCGCGGCGTGCCGATCGACGCGCGCGCTGCGGCGGCAGCGGCCTGCGTGCTCGGGCTCGGGCTCGGCCCCCCAGCGCCCTCCCCCACGGGGAGGGGGCTTGTCAGGGGGGGGGGCTGGCTCGGCCGAAGGGTGGGGGGGGGTGGGGGCCGTCGACCCGGAATCGGCGATGCACCGACGACAGAGCGGCGATGGGCCCCCGTTGGCGAATCCGCGGGTTCCTGGGCGGGGTGGGCCATCAGCCATCGGGCCCCCGTCGGCGACGAATGGGCGATGGGGGGTCGATGCAGTCCCCCCTTCGAGTAGGGGATCGACTACAGAATTGAAAAACCCCAAGCTTGATTTTCTCGTGGGAATTTTCAGTTACAAGTCTTAGTATGTCCGCAGGCCTACGAACATGCGATGTTCTTGTTCCAAAGACTCGACGAACAAGTCAAGTTTGGGGTAGATCAATGTTGTAGTCGATCCCCTCCTTGGCCCTAAGCCTACCGCCCCTCAACGTTGCTCCTGACGACAACCGCGCCTCAGAGGAAGCTCTGGCGAAGGGTCGCTCTGGCGCGGAGCCGATCCTGCGCATGCGGCTGCCTGCCAGGCAGCAGGCCCGCGGGCAGGCCCGCGCCGTGGCACTCCCGGATGGCCAGCATCATCTCCAGCGGGTTCCCGCAGCTCTCGGCGTGGTAGTCCCACGGCCCCTCGGCAGGGTCACCCGTGCAGTCACAGGAGGAGCGTCTGAAGATCGCTCCTCCTGACCAACCCCAGTCCTCCCTCCTCCTCCTCCTCCTCCCCCTCCTCCTCCTCCTCCTCCTCCTCCCTCCTCCTCCTCCTCTCCTCCTCCTCCTCCTCCTCCTCCTCCTCCTCCTCCTCCTCCTCCTACCACCAACTCCTCCTACCAACTCCTCCCGCCCTCCTTCTCCTCCTCCTCCTCCTCAACAGCCTCCTCCTCCTCCTCCTACTCCTCCTCCTCCTCCTCCTCCTCCTCATCATCATCATCATCATCATCATCAGCATCAGCATCATCATCATCATCATCATAATCATCATCATCAGCATCATCATCATTATCATCAGCATCAGCATCAGCATCATCAGCATCATCAGCATCATCATCATCAGCATCATCAGCATCATCATCATTATCATCATCATCACCATCATCATCAGCAGCATCAGTATCATCATCAGCATCATCATCATCCTCATCATCATCCTCATCATCATCATCATCATCAGCATCATCATCATAACCATCATCAGCATCATCAGCATCATCATCATCAGCATCATCATCATCAGCATCATCATCATCAGCATCATCATCATCATCGTCATCATCATCATCATCATCGTCACCACCACCATCACCATCATCATCATCATCATCATCATCACCCTCATCATCATCATTATCATCATCACCACCACCACCATCATCATCCTCACCACCACCATCATCATCACCATCATCATCAGCATCATCAGCATCATCATCATCACCACCATCAGCATCACTATCACCATCACCATCACCATCATCATCATCCATCCCTTGTCCTTATAAGTTTGCCAGCCACACGGGCCAAAGGCGTGCTAACATATACAACACAAGTTCCCGAATGTGTCTAATTCGCGCGCGCGTTGCGTCCCCTGGGGGTCCCCCGACGAACAAAAATACGCCGGCAACGTCTTGGCAGGTCCCCAGCAGGGTCGGGCCAGAAATGCCAGAACTGCTGGGCACGGCCCTGGAAGCCCACGGAGCGCCCCAGGAGCGCCCCAAGGAGGCGCCACATGGGCGGCAGGCCCCACGTCCCCAGGCCAAGAGCGTTCCAAGATGGCCCAAGTTGATCTCAAGACGGCCCAAGAGGCGCCAAAGACGCCCCAGGAGGAATCTCAGAGGACCCCAAGAGGGCCCGAAGATGCGAAACTCATTGATGTGACCCGGGTTTTTGAAAGACTTCGGCGACACTGCCGAGTCAAGCTTCAGACCGCCGAGGACGGCCCAAGAAGCCTCCGAGATCGCCCCAAGTCAGCCCAAGAGGCTCCCTGGACGGCCCCGAGTCGGCCGAATAGGGCCCCAAGACGGCCCAAGAAGCCTCCCCAGAGGGCACCAGAGGCTCTCTTGACGGCCCCAAGCGGGGGAACCCGAACAGACAGATTGAGCCTACCCCGCAAGTTGGCGGCCCCCGAGACAGCCAGCAGGCTCCCAAGACGCCCGAGACCCCAAGAAGCCTTCTCAAGAGGCGTCTTGTCGAGGACCCAGTTTGGCCCCAACAATGGCCCAAGAAGCCGTCGAGAGGCCTCCTCCTCCTCCTCCTCGAGGTCGCCAACTAGTGGACTCGGCTTAGTACGATCACCACCGGATGGCGAAGCATCGTCAGCGCCAGAAAACGTGCCAAGCAGGTACAATATCGATTAGACTGTTGTGGAACGCTGGTCAGAGATTTTGACACGAGCAGGCCCACGACTTGTTTGATATATGTTTGACATCCCAGAGCGGTCAGCTGATATTTTTGACACGAGCAGACCGACATTTTTGATATCCCAGAGAGAGAGAGAGAGCAGCACATTTTTGACACGAGCAGACTCAACTTTCGACAGCGTGGTCAGAGCGCTGAGACCGATAGCGAGCCAGTCGGATGGGGTTGCCAAAAAGATGGCCAAGCGCAGTCAGTCAAACGCTCTCCATGCATAAATTGAAAAGTGTCGACATTAAGTCGAACCTACAGAAGAATTCGGATGTTCACACCCACGCCGAGGGAGACGCTCAGCAGTAAAGGGTTATATGTATCGTCACCGATTGAGATGATCGATGTCAAAGTTTAAGCATGGAAAGGTATATGGGCCCCGCCAACGCTCAAGTATGATGATCTGGAGAAAGCATCTGGGGAAACTCGAGGAACAGCCCGAGATGATCCGCTTATCCCGTTACCACCTGATGGTATAAGGCGAGCAACAAAGAAAATGAAGGCCAGCAGTGGACAAGACGTGGACAGGTTCTCGCCGACAGACATTGCACGCCAACCAGACTGCAGTCTAATGAAACTTTCGAAGCTGTACTCTTCTGTGGAGGATAGCTTGCGCTGGCCAGTTCAAACGCAGTTGGTGACTGGTCATGTGACACCCAAGCATCGTGGAGACGGAGATCGAGTCAACGGGCTTATGGCAACGTTTAGTCGACTATGGCCACAAGCACGGGACACACAGGTGGCGGAGTGGTCGCGGGCCATAGCGCCCGAGTGGGACGCGGCGGTCGAGAGCAACGCGGTTCTTCGCGAAGCCTTCATGTGCCCTAAGATTGGGGCACCCAACGCAAACACTGTACCTGGATTTGTTGAATTGTGTAAACGCCCCGTACCCTCCGTCAGGCTGGGGCCTGTTCGCGCCCCTTCGGCCCTACCCAATCAGCGGCACGGGGACTTACAGGGGCACAAGGTTTGCGCGAGCAATGGCAGACTTCGCATTGCAAACTGAAACTGGTACTCAACCACAATAACCTCACATAATATGGATCGACGACCTCAGCTAAACTACCAAAGGTTCACGCGCCATGATCAGGAACAAAAATGATGGAGGTGCTCATTGAAACTTATAAAGAATTGGAAAACGCACCCAAAGTCGCGTGCAAACGTGCTGTCCCCTGCATGGTATGTGGCAACACAAATGCGTATAGAAGGCTATCATGTAGAGGCTCTTAGTCAAGTGGCATAGTTGGAGCAAACCCATCAGGTGGCATAAGACACGGTCGTGCGATAAGAACAAAACGATGAGAAAGCCCGATGCAATGCACAAGCACCTGAACACGTTTGCTGCAGCGGCGCGTCGGTATAAAGAACAAGGAGCCTATGCAGCAGGATCTGTTGCAAGTCAGCTGCACGGCATTTTCGGAACGCAGCTGCAAACGTTCCCAAGGAGGCAACATGCCCTGGGGAAGACCCTGGTGTAAAGATACCAGCAGGATGTTTGCAGGTATGGTTCAGAATGTGGGCCCACGAGGGCCGTCGTTCGCAGCCAGCTATCAACAAAAACGTGGCGATCGACAATGGAAAAGCTGACGGCAATGGAACAAGGACAACGACATCGACACATTCGTGGCCCCCGAAGTGCAGTTACCACGCATCGTCAAGAAACAGGTTGGGCCACAACAGTGGCAGAATCCTGGGATCGCAGACCGAGTGCGACAGGAGAGATCATTGAATGGAATGCCCCCCCTGTAGCTTTTTAAACATTCAGTTATGTCAACACGGCACAGGAGCTCCTCAATTTGTTCATCAGCCACAGGCAGCGAATTCACTGAGAGCAAGCAAACAACCAATACTGTGGAGAAGGCTTGGAAAGAACGGACATGTACAACTACGGCCAATTGATCCGCCAACTTCGAGACGTGCCCCACGGACACCGAGTGGCTGGGGAAAAAGCTGTGGGAAGTGTATGGCCCACAGCCGGAGGATGTGTACACGAAGGGGGACTTCCGGGGTGGCATTCGCTAAATTCCCTAGCGCGGGGGATCGAGACACTGTGGTGGGCCTATTTCGCAAAGCGTCTTTCCAGGAAGGGGGAAGCCGAGTCTGGGCGAAAGCGGACCAGCCCCTCCCAAAGCGGGTCATCACTTCATTCGCTTTCGGCTTGAAGTACTTGTTGAAGCAATGGGGGTACGAAGCGAAGGCGATCTGGGCGGACCCCGATGACGGCAAAGTCTGGCTCGGTGCGGAGATGGTGGCCCACGCGACGATCGACGGAGGCAAACTCAACGTTGCTTACGGTTGTGGTTGGGAGTCTTGGTTGACAGATGCATCTTATCCCGACTTCCTCGATCTCACTTCTAAGTTTACTGGCAAGCTCGATACTGTCGCTTCCAAGGGCGTGGGGAAGATGGGGGCCAAGGCAAAATCCCAAGGGAAAGGCGGCGGACAGCATAGCAGATGAGGGTGCCAGCGGGACGGTAGCAGAGACGTTTCACACAAGAGATCTGGAACCATGTCCTTTTACCAGGTGATTCAACCAGCTTCTGAGAGTACTGCAGTACACGCTTGGTCGAGTGGCTTAGCCAAGACGCCGCTTGCTGCAGCCAGGGGCGGCCGTTTGCGCCCCTCCGGTTCTGAATTCACGATTGCTTTGTGGAACATCGAGGGGTACACCATTGCAAAGCAAGTGGAGCTCGAACGTATCATGGAACGGGAGAGCATTGGCACATTATGTGTCCAGGAGACATGGCAGCATTTATCAGACACTTTCGTCACAGACACGGGGTACTTCGTTGTGCTATCAGGGGGCGCCGAGAGCAGAGCAGACGAAAACGAGGATCGAGCAGGCGTCAGCTTCATAATTGCGCCGCGAGCACGGAGGTCCATCATTGCTTTCCGCCAAAAGACATCCAAAATGGCATCGCTGAAACTACGGGTTAGAGGAGGCATAGCCACTCTTTGTTAAGCATGCGCTCCACACAGTGGTCACGACTTCGTTAAAAGGCAAAATTTCTTCACAACGATCTCTCGGATTGGTGGACAAGACGTCGGCACACGGACCTAAACTGATTTTGGGAGATATGGACGCGAGGCTATACGAGCAATTTGCTGGCGAATCGAATGTGGTAGGACCGCATGAATTTGCATTACCTGGCGTGGAAGGCAAGCCCGACGCCAACCGGCATCTGCTGGTGGAGGCGTGCACCCAGCTCGCCATGAGTCTGGCCAACACC